ACAGTTGACGAGATCTGGCTTTACACTGAAATCTTGAAACTGCAAAATTGTTACTGAATTTGTGTGTTATTATTGGCTGTCATCGATTTCCATGCATGATGTATCGCATAATATCTTCACCAAATAGTGCTATAATTTCTCATTACTAACACTTGTAAGTAATACAAAGGTTATGGAATCATTTTTGCGATGATTTCTCACTATAAACGGTGGTTCACAGACCTTTCTATAATTTGCGTATACTGCACCGCATGCAGGCGTGCGGGCGGGCTTGCTTACCGTCGCTCACCACGGTGCCCTCTGGCCCCGTGTGAGTATGAAACCCAACGCACGCCTGCATTGGTACAGTGTAGGCAAATTAGAGGAAGAGGTCTGTGGACCACCCAGTATTTTATTAATACATTCTTTTTGGTGGTAACAATTTATCGATGTGACGAATCATTGTAATGGCAAAACAGCAGTCATCGTATGGTTTAGTAGTGTGAAATCTTTTGCAAAACCCAGCCACAGCGACACATTGAAAAATAATGCCCCCCCCCCTTTCTGTATTCCCCCTACTTTTCCCCACCCCCTGCGTCTTCTGTCTCCAGCTGGTTTCTCGTGTCGAGGGGTATCTACATAAGCATACGGCGTCCATCCGCGATACTCCTGTCGTGGCAGTCTCTACTCCACGTCTACGGCCTTTCTTTCGACATTCTGTGGGACAGTTATCACTTTTGAGTGTTTCTAATTGCTTCCTGATTTCAGGGTAGATTTGGATAAAAACCGGGTCCGCGTCAGACTATTCCTCCCAGAACTGTCGATGGACAGTGACTACTTCCTCCAGGGACAAATCCTCCTGCTGCCGATCCAAGGACACGGACACAGCTCAGGCAACTACTGTAAGTAAATGGTCACTCACATAAGCTAGAGTACGTTGCGCTGGGCACATTTCAAGAAGGCCGTAGTTTACCGAGGTGTAACGGACCGCATGCAGAAGTAAGTGCAAGAAGGGTTTGTTAAGGGCCTCAAGGCGTTAAGGTGCCCTGGAGGCGATGTCAACGATAGCGCCTGCAACGCGGTGGGTAGGCCAACCCGCCAAGCAGCTGTGTGAAGACGGCGGCCCGCCCTGAGCCTGAGCGCCAACTGTGATAGGCCGAGGGCTTCCGGCAACTCCCTTAGTGAACCGTCTACCCAAAAGTTGCCGATTCCTGGAAGAGCGGAAGGAGCCGATTTAGTAACCCCCTTACTTCAGGTGCCCCCCCCCCTTTCCCCATCTTTTCCATGTTCTATGTTGTTTGAAAAATCCGTCCAGGAATCTCGAGAAAACAACTACCCTCAAAATAGTAGTTGGAGTCGAAAAAGATAGCAATAACAATATGTTCAAACGTAGCAATTATTTAAGTGCGGTGTGACCTACCCTTAGTAGTTTGAGGATCGTGAAGTCTGAAGTCTTATCTACTGCGTCATGTCACAGCCAACATTGAGGCCACCGCCACCATGACCGGCCAGAGGGTTATCCGCGACGGCCGCGAGTACATGGACGTCAAGGAGTTCCTCGTCGACTTTCAGATCGGCCACGCCAGTGTTCACCTAGACAACCTCTTTGACGGAGACAAGGAGCTTGGTGAGTTTTGAGAAACCTACTGAAACTTTCATCTACACGCCTCTTGAAAAGATAAATTTAAATAAACAAAAATATTTTGTCTGATGCCTTGTTGGTTTCCAGGTGAAATCATGAACAAATTTCTCAATGAGAACTGGAGAACTGTGGCGAAAGAGGTGCAGCCCATCCTAGAAGACACGATTGGCGAGCTCTTCAAAACATTCGCTAACAAGATATACCACATGTACCCACTGGATGTCCTCATTCCGGAATAAGGTGTTTCAGCAATGACATAAACTTTTGTAAATAAGTGTGAATAAGTGTTCTCACACCGCGGTTATGTAAATAAGTGTTATGTAATAAATTTTTATTAGTTCTGACTTTTTTAAAAAACAACAATTTGGCTTTTGACTTATCAGGAACTCTTGATTTGGATTTTAAACCCAGGATGAACTTACTCTACTAAAATATTCAAAAGCAACAATAATCATGCTTTTTGGTTGTTTGTACATTTTAAGGTAGAAATCTTAAAACTAGTCTAAACCTACATAGGTAAAAAAAATCAAAAATGAGATTGAAAAAGAAAACACTTCCTTTACACAAAATGTTTTTCAGAAAATTATCTTTTAACGGAATATGAATACCAAGTGGCCGTAACAATTGCAAAGACGTGCCTAGAATGACAGTCTCTGGTTTTCATTCGATAGGCCGACAAACGAATCAAATTATGTATGCCTCTCAAAAATGTGCAGTTTGGAGAAAAAACTGAATTCTCTTTAAATCTCAGAGCCAAATATGAATGACAACTTTTTGACACCGAAATTGGTTCTCCAAAACGATTTAAACTTACACGGTAATGTTTACCAAATAGTATTCGCTTCGGTTGGCAGTGAAAGTAATCTTTGTATGTCGAGCCTCCGGAACAACGTTTGTTTGTACCGCGTTCCGGTGCCCAGCGGGCGGGGTCGCCCTTGTTTAGCCGTGGGGCTTGGTGGTCGTCGATGACGGGATGCCCGGCAGGACCGCCGACGCGTTGCCGGTCAGACTGCCGCTGTGGCGCGCCACGATATTCCGCGCTACCATTGCCTGCATTATCTCGTCGGCGTGGTCCTTAATGTCCCCGATGAAAAAGTCAGCGGGCACGCTATCGAACAGCTGCTTCAACACCAGGTACAGAATGTCCTCGATGGTCTTGGTAAGGATAGGGTGCAATGACTCGGCCACTGGGCGCCAGTTCGAGTTGATGTATGTGTTCGTCGTTTCCTCTGCATGAGATCAGAGTTGTGTGCGTTTATGGAGGAGAGAAAAAAACACATCCAGAAACCAAAGTTATGTTCAAGAAAGTATCATTCGTACTCACCGAGGCTGCGGAGCCCGTCGAACAGGTTGTTCATCCGCATCTTGAGACCGCCGAGCTTGAAGTCGACTCGAACGTCCTTCATGTCGAAGAAACGCTGACCGTCGCGATATACCACCCCGAGGTCCTGGGAAGACGTCACGTCCAGGTTGTCTGCGCGGGTGGAAGGGATGGAAGTAGTAAAGCAGGCTCGAGACTGGTGGGACGCGCCGGGGGCGCAGGCAACCCATCGTACTCACGTGGTTCAAACCAGCAGGTGCCGTGGCCCTGCAGCGGCAGCAGCAGCACGCGTCCCCGCAGCGAGTACTCGCCGTCGATGCGCAGCTTGGGGATGCGCAGCTTTGTCACGAAGCTGTACGTCTCGGGATCCACACTGCAACCGGTAATTAGTTCGAATAACGCAGCGACCCAAACTGAAAGGAGTCACGACAGCCGATCCCCCAACCAATAGTCTTACGTGTTGGATTCGATTCTGGCACCAGAGAAGCCGACAATCTTAACGTTTCTCAGCTTCGCGTTGACGTTGACGGGACCGTCACCCTGGAAGATCCGCACCTCGGTCACATTGAGAGGATCCATGGGTACTATGCCGATCTCCGGCATTCCTGGGACAAAAAGAAAAGTAATTTCTATTTCATGGCGCAGTATTCGCTTGGATCCCAGTGCGACACCCCGCCCGGCACAAACGACACAAACTTGCTTTGCGGGCTCTGTCTCGGAGGCAGTCGCACTCTGTCAACTTCCTGCTTGTATCCGCGCCTACTGTCCTCCATGTCGCGTGCAAACTGGCAGCGCCGGTATGAAATCGTTGATGTCAGCATGGCCACTTCCCCATCGGAAGAAGATTGGACACCATCATATGTATAATATCTATTAAGACTCATCCGCCGGTTGCGGGGGAGAGGAGCGGGGGTGGAATGGCTATTTCCTAGCCGGGAACACCCCTTTGCCCTTGCGTGCTGGCCGTCCCGCCCCTCTTCGCTGGACTATGACCGGAAGCTTCCGAGAGGACGTCGTGCTGGCCGAGCCCAAGGTTCGGCACTACCCAGCCTCACCGACCAAAGGGACCTTATGTAGTATAACATTTCAGGATAGGTGACTGGAAGAACAAAAGAGTTACCAAAAGAGTAGGAAACTGTCGGAAAGTGAGGGGTTGTGAGGGATGGAGAAAGGAGGGTGATAAAGTGTATTTCTGGTTTGTTTGTACTCTCTTCTTATTTTCACCTAACCTGAAAAGAGCTGACTATTTTGACACTCACCCACGCTCAGTTTGTCGAACAGCCCCTGCACGGACTCCTTGGAGCACTGAGGAAACCCGGGCGCGTCCATAAAGCAGGTCTTGAGAAAGTCGGCTGAAACATGAGGGCATGGCATGGGGCACGAGGATGACCGGATGACACTTGGGGTGCGCTCTAGAGCACGGGGCCGCCTGTCCAAACTCCGGCGGTCTCGTTATTTCAGGGGCCAAACGGTACTTACGTTTGTTCTGCAGCACCGTCACTGTGAGGACCTGCTTGGTCAGGCCCAGCATGGCACACACCAGCACCGCCGTCTGCAAGCCGGGTCCACGGCTTCGTGTCCACGAGGTGATCATTTTGGTTCCGGAGGTCGCAGGGGGCGGCGCGGGCGGCGGGGGTGGCGCTGTAGACGGTGTGTGGACTCGATGCCACAGCGGGGGCGGCAGACACGCGCACGAGGTGCTGTGCCTTCCGGGTGGCTGTGTGGACTGACTGCATCGGCCTGCCTCCAGGTGGCCACCAGGCGGGCCACCGGGGGAGCCACGGGCGAGCCTGCCCCGCGCCACCCCGCCCCCTGCCCGCCGTGCGCCTGCCCGCTGGGCATTGCCCGAGCCTCGCGACACCGACGCGACCCGCGGCGACGCCGTGGCGACAGCGTGCGGCAGACGGCCCTGGTTACCCGCGTGGCCATACACACGCATCGCAGACGCGGCGCCTGCAGTGCAATCTTGACGTCATCGTGAGCGCGATGCTCGAAGGTCCAGAAGGGCCCGCTCGCGCCGGCCCTTCCCTCACACCCCGCTCCCCGCCCGAGACACTCGCTCACAACCCCGTCAATGGCCGGCGCTATGTTTGGCCTGGAACCAGCCTTACGCGTGCTCATTTTCACTTTCCCCTTTGACGGGCCGGGGGGCGGGCGGAGGCAGACAGTCTTGGAAGGATCAGCTGGAGCGGCCGCCCGCCCCAGCCCGCTGCTCCCGCCCGCCTGAGCCGGCCGCGGGCAGCTCGCGCTTACGCAATACGGCATAAGACCCGCTGTAAGCGAGGACGTATTTGTGTTGTGGGGCCAGGTCGGCCAGCCGGGTCGCGCGCTCGCTCAGGGGCGGGCGGGCGGGGCAGGTTGGGT